CTTCCCAAACCAGCCCGCACATTTCCCCTCTCGGGAAAATGGGCAGGGAGGTGCGGACACCCCCACCTCACCAACGAGGAGAGGGCCTCCCTCCTGAGGTCTGGACCACTGTCCCCGGGACGGCAGACCTGTGCCCTCCTCCCTGTCCCCCACCTTCCCCCAGAGCTCAGCCTGCGGGGACTGGTCTTCCTCGGGCCTCACAGACGTGATTGTCCCTCCCTGCAGGGAGCCATGGTTTCTCATTTTTCTAAAAAAACTTTAAGCACTTTTATTATTATTTTCTTACTGAGGTTATGCTTTATATGTGACGGAATACATCCTCACTGTTTTTGAGAAGCTGCCGAGGCTGCGGGGCCACGCCCCCCCGAGCCACACAACTCACTCCTGCAGCCTTCTTCATGGGGTTCAGAGATGCCCCCAGAACCCCCAGTTACAAGCCACTGTCCACTCCAGAAGAAATGGAAAGGGATCCGGGTGGGTGTTTTAGCCTTTCAGCCTCACGTGCCTTGGCAATGACAGGGACAGCACAGTGGCCTGGTCAGCCAGTCCTTCCCCGCCCCCCCACCCGAGTCCTGAGCATCTGGAGGGCTGGGGGGGCACCCGATCCACCAGGGTGTCCAGTGCCCAGAGCACAGCGGGAATGTGGCACGTGGTGAGCGGGGCGAGGCCACGGTCCGGGGCCACAGGGCGACTTTCTAACCCAGGAGGATTGCCCAGCGGCGAGAATCCAGTGGAAACTGCACCCCCATATCCGGTCCCTCCTCCAGTGTCAGGGTCTAGGGCTTGGACCAGGAACAGAACCCTGACTCTACTCAGAAGCCTGTGGCAAGTCACAGCATCTCCCAAGACTTGATTTCCTCATCCATAAAATGGGCTCCCAGTGTTCCTGGGAGACTCCGTGGGTGAACAGGGATAAGCCCCATGGCTCAGTCCAGCACTTGGCTAACGACTATCACTGGGTAAACATTAGCTGTTACCAGTACCCAGTCTGCACTCAAAATCTGGAAGATTGTTTTTTGTTTTTTTTTTCCTTCCTTCTGGCAGCTTCTTCAGAGACTTGCCTGTGGAGCTGTTTTGGAGCCTGAAGGAAAAAACAGACCCTTCACCTTTCCCAGAATCCTCCTCTATTATTTCCTTTCCAAGTTCAGGAGCAGGCACAGATGGGGGGACCGGGTGGGGACAGGAAGTGGGGCTACCTCCAGGCCAGCTCAAGGTGGTAAAAGGGGCCGGGCTCGGGTGAGTGATTCCTAAGGAGCCTTTCTTCCTGTCCAGGGACCATCTGGCACCTCGGGATGCATGCAGGCTGGATCAGATAGGCCGGCGCTAAAGTTGCCAATGCGTTTCAGAAATCTAAGTCATCAGCTGTCTTGGCTCAGCAGTGATGGCTGGGAATGCTTGTTTCTGTTTTCAACCAATCCAAGAGACTCCACCCGGCAAGGGGAGTGGGCGTGCAGCCCCGACGATGCCCTGTGTGGGCGAGCTAGTGCTCAGCACTGTATCTGATGGAGCTCGTGCAGCGTGGAAGCCAACATGATGCATCTCGAGGAGGGAACGAGAAAGGCTGGGGTCGGGGGCTGGGGAGGGCCCCGCGAGGCCAAGGCCAGCTGGTGGGGGCGGGGGCGAGGGACTAGGTTTTCTCCTGGACAGAGGCTCCCGGGCAATACTCCTGGGTTTACCAAGTCCCAAGGGTGGTCACCCCTTTAATGTGAACCCCTTGTGATCTCAGCAAGGACCACGCGCTGTATTACAAAGGTGAGAAAGCTCCAAGATTCAAGGGGGCAGCAGGTGACTAACTACAGCAGGTTGTCATATGTGCTGGCCTGGGAGGGAATGGCCTGGGATCCCCCTGCGGCTGCGGGACCCTGAGGATGGGCGTGTACCCCACAAAGGTCAGTTGGAGAGGCAGCAGCCAGGGATGGCTTTCTGGGAGGGGACGACAGCTCCGTTGAGCCCCAAATGATGTAGACAGAGTGAGCTTTGTGAAGAGACAGAGGGAAGGGGAGACGTCTGCAACCTCCGCCCAGGGTGGGGGGGTCCCCGAATGTAAACACCGAATCCTGCACAGTAATTTGGCACAGTGCCGTCACACTGTGGCCGAGGCAACAGCTTGTGCAAAGGCCCAGAGGTGAGAAAAATGTACGGACAGGCTTTTCCTACCCCTTTTGGGTTCCTAGAAGTTGCAATGAGAACAGAGTGGTGGCAGGACAGTGGCTTGGGGACCCTGTGACCCCTTCCTCTACTCCTGCACTTAGGAGCTGTGGGACTGCAGGTAGGTTGCTTTACCCCTCTGGGCCTCGGTCTCCTCATCTCTAGAACAGCATATCGCCACCTTCCCTTGAAGATTATTAGGAGGACTCCGCAGCGTGCACGCCGAGTGCGCAGCACAGAGCTTCACGCCCAGGGACTCCATCGGCACCCTACGCTCGCCCTTCTCTCGGTTTCCAGATGGAGTTCTCAGGAAGGGCTGGGGCCGATCCTGCGGGACAGCCCAGGATCCAGATGCAGCCCCAAGGCCCAGAGAGGCAGAGTGACTCGCTTAAGGTCACACAGCCAGAAAGAAGTGAGACTTAAGATTTAATTTTAGCTGTGGCTCAGAGTGACCGGGCTGTGCCCATGTGTTCACAGCATGGCGAGCAACACCAAGCATTCGCCTGAAGCCACCATTGGGCTCTTGCCACGAACCGAGCCCTGACTGTGGCCGTGACCTCAGCTCATTCCTGCCACAGTACCTTTGCTGTTGGGGTGCCCTCTGCCTGACACGTGGCTTCCACTGATGGAAGGGCTGGCCCCTCCTCATTTGGGTTTCTGTTCCACTACCACCTCCTCAAAGAACGTGACCCTGCCCCTCCCCCGACTCCCACACCTCCACATTGTCTCCTTTACAGGAGCTGATGTGATTACCCCGTGTCTCCCCTCAGGAACACCAGCCTCTCCCTGGTCCGTATGTACTCGCCCAACAGGTGCCAGTGCCCAGACTGTGCCAGCCCATCTTAGAGGACAAGGGAGACCTTTCTCTCTCCTCACAGTTCAGAAAACTGCAGGCATTCACCCTCCCCCAGCACCCCTCCCCTGACCCCCTTCGGCTCCCTTCCTCCCTTTGGGGCATGAAACCTGCACCCCGGCCTGGCCAGAAGCCACATCCAGGAAAGCTACAGAGCAGGAACACTCAGCATCTGTCACCCCCTCCCCCCACAGACTGGGGACCCAGGAAACTGACAAGCTTCCCAGCATGCTCTGCAGCTCCTTCACCTGTCAAACCCACAACCAGCCAGAATTTCCCCCACACTGCCTGCCTGCCTGCTGTGGGGGCTGCCTCAGAAATGGGGGCCCGTAGCCAGCCTACCCTTCTGGGGGGTGGGGGGTTCCCAGCTACAGAGCGCCCCCACCTCCACCAGTCCAGATACAAGGCGGTGAGTGACAGCAAGAAGAAATGAAAACAGGGGAAACCCAAGGAAGTCCGGGAGAGGGGGTCCTACCCTCCGTTCGCCTGGGGGTTGAACTGGACTTTATGAGACATTTTGAAGAAGTAAAATAGGCACAATGTGGTTCGAAATGAAAATATAAAAAAGTTTACAGTGAAAAGGTCACTCCCCCTTCATCCTTCCGACACAACCCCCCCATAAATATTCCTTATTCTCACTGCCTTCCAGAGTCCTTGATGCAGATAAAACAATTACAAATACATACTTAGTCTCCCTCCCTTTTTAAAAAGAGTCCCGTATGATGTATTACTTCACACCCTTTTCCCCTCTGGTTGCTGACAGTTCTATATTTGTACACAGGAAGATGTACAGACAAGTGTGGGCGTGTGTATGCACGCCCACACACACAGTCCAGCTGTTAAGGGGTTTCTGTAATTTCCATCCAATTATCCTGGAAAGAGGTGCTCAGATTGGGGGTCAGGGAGAGTCACCGTTCAGCCCAGGCGCACACACGGCTGGTTTCCTCTGGGGACTGACGACGGATGCTGGCCATGGGCACTAACTCAGAGCAGGTGCCGGCACCGGCTCCTCCTCCATAGACATCATTACATCTGCAGCTCCCGACTCCTGAGCACCGACCAGGTAGGTACTAGCGGAAACCCCACTCCAAAGAGAAGGAAACCAAGCCTCCGAGAGGGACAGCGACTCGTCCCAGGTCACACAGCAAGGAAGGAAGTGGTGCCCGCAGGTCTCACGCCATCTGTCCACCTCAAAGCCAACGTGCCTGCTCCCCGGCCCCGCTGGTCTACAGTCCACACTCCTCTTCACAGCCGGCGGCACCCCGCCCCCCAGGTCAAGGCCCGCGGTCAAGTTTCCAGCCGGGCTGGACCTGGGCAGACAGACAGGTGCTTCCCCACCCCAGGTTCCTGGGGTCACCTCAGCCCGCGGTCCCGCCTCCCGGTGCATCTCGCCTCTGCGGGGCCCGGGAGTCCCAACGGGCTCGAGGAAGGTCGCGGGGCTCCTGCTCTGCGGGCGCTGCCTCGCTTCGGCTTCCCAGCTGCCCGGGGAGCTGCGCCCACCTGAGCCCATTTCACAGACGGGAGGACACAGCCTCAGAGCCTGGCTCCCACCCAGCTGCCGCGACTTCAAAACTTTCCGCCCCCTGCGCATCCTGAATGCAAACGACTTTCAGGTGCAGGGCGCGCACCAGCCCGGCGCTCGCTCTCCCCGCCTCGGCGCCCGCCCTGAGTTGCTGGGGGTGGGCACTGGACCCCGCTCCCTCCCGGGTCCGCGGTCCTCAGGTGCCGAGGTTCCCCGCTAACGTCGAGGGCACCCGACAGGGTCAGTGGCCGCGGCACTTACTCAGCATCGCCGCGGGGCTCCTCGCCGCAGCCTGCAAAGTGGCCGGCGGGAGCCCACTGGAACGCGGGGGAGACTGAGGCGGAGAGGGCCGGCCGCCCAAGGTCACGCAGCAGGCGGCGCGAAGCCGGGAGGGCGGCGGCGGGCCGGGGTTCCCCGTGCGAACCTTCTGACGGTCCCGGCCAGTGTCCCCGAGCCCGTCCCCCGCGAGATACTCACAGCCGGTCTTGCCCACGAGCTCCCGCACCTCCTCGGACGCGGAGTGGGCAGCTCCCATGGTGCCCGCTGCGGGGGCGCGCGTCCCTCGGTTGGCGTCGACTGCGCAGCGGCCGGTTCGGCCTCGGGTTCAACTCGAGTCAGGACGCCGACCGGTCTGAGCCTCGGGTTCCGCGTGGGGCGGCAGCGCGGCCTCTTATAGCGGCAGGCGGCGGGGCGGCGCGGTCCTAGCGCGCGCCGACTTCGCGCACTGCGGGGAGTGGGGAGCGCCCCGCCCCAGGGCCGGAATGGCCGGGAGCGAGGTCCAAGGAGCCCACCTCCGAGGTTCTTCAGTGGCTACAGCTGCAGCTTGGCGGGTCGTGTCTCGCCCCTTCTGCACCTCTGCAGGCTCTGGAAAGAGGCAGGTGGGAGCAGAGTTGGGGCGTGGAGAGGAGAGGCGGATCCCGGGAGGTTTCCTTGCCTACCCCCCACCCCCACCCCGTTCCACCACACACCCTCCCAGATCGCAAGAAGAAAACTCCCCTGGGACAGCGAAGGAGGACAGAGAGCATTAATTAGCTCTGTGGTGAGCAGCAATGAAGGATATAATAGTGATCCACCTTGAATGCACACCAGGTGCTTCTTTGCTCAGCTTATTCCACGAAAGCCCCTCCCCCCTCCCAGCACCGAATGAAGTGGACACACCCGCATGCCAGTCAAGCAACCCAGCCTAGCCACACAGCACAGGAGTGGCGTGGGGAAGGGGGGGGTCCCAAATTTTAGGAGTGGGAGCTATGCACTCCCCCTGCCCCCCACTCTGACTCAGGGCCCAGAAAGCTGCATTCCAAACTGCCAGAGATGCGATGCTGGTGGCCCCCCCCAGTGAATGGGAGAAGCTCTGTGTTAAGGTGGCTTAAAGAGACTGGGTTCTGTAAGGGGGCAAGGCAGGGGCAGGGCTGGGGTGGGAGGGGAGGGTGGGGTGAAGGTGGGGGTGGAGGCTGGTCCTGCCATGTGTCTGGCCAGGATTCCTTCTCCTGAAACGGGGATAATGTAGTAAATAAGAGGTCCCATTAGAAGGACCTCGCACAGGGCACAGCTCAAGGTGGTCTCTGTGGAATCACGCCCCCTTTGCAGGTGAGAAACCGATTCTCAGAGAGGTCACACAGGACTCCAGGGTGCTGGCCGGCTGACGAGGCCATCAGCGATGGGCATGTTACTGTCCTGGGCACCAGGCTCTGTGGTAGTGTTGGGGGGGGGTAAGGGTCTCCTGGTACTCGCAGAGGCTTAGGGGGCCCACCGACATCAGCCTCACAGGTGCTGGGGAGGGGCTGCAGTAACCGCCACAGGCCCAAGCCAAGGGTCACCACTCTTTCCAGGGGCAGAGGTGCCTCTCAGAGCCACCAGGGGGCTCCTGAGACTGGCCAGAGCCGCAGAATCAGCCTTGTCTTGTTTGGAAATCCAGCTGCCCATAGGCCTCCAGAGGGCTGGGCCACTCCTGGAAAGTGCCTTTCAAAAGCACCCTCGGGTGGTGCCCAAACCTTGCCGAGGGGGCAAATGTTGGTGGTCAGGCCCCTGCTGGTCTGAGCCAGCTGGACAGCTGACCTGGAGACTGCGTTTTCCGTCAGAAGGCATCCAGAAACCCAGATGGGCTCTGGGGTCAGAAATGGGGATCCCAGGGCCCCTTGGGAATTACCCGCAACTGCTGGGAACAATTTTATTCCGACTCAAAATATCGGTTCCTGGAATGTTATTATATTAAATTATTCAAGAACTCAGTGGCGGGGCTTTCTGCTGGGGTCAGAGACAGAGGCACCTCCTCTCCGGGGTGCGGTTGCTCCCAGAGGTAAAGAGTCTGGGGGGCGGGGGCAGGAGGTGGGTGGATGAGGGCCCTGGGATGATGCTCAGGGACAGTGAGGGGTCACATGGCTTCGCTCTGCCCTTCAGGCGATGACAGAGAGGCTCCCCAGTGTGGGGTCGAGGCAGCTGGTCCTCATTCTACCACCTGACTGTAGCAGCAACTTGGTCTCAAGGCCCACTGGCTGTGGTCAGCTCCCAGACAAGCACTGACACTTCTTGTTCCTTCTGCCTTCCCCTCCCTCCTCCAGCAGCCAGGGCCTCCTCTCAAGATCTCAGGGTGATCACTTCCTCCCAGACACACTCCCAGGGTCCCCACGTGCTCCCCTGGGCCTGCAGCCAAACCAAGCCACCTTAGCCCAGGGACAGCTAGAGCGGGGTGACTGGGGGGGATTTTCTCCTGATGGAGGGGTAAGGAAAATACTTGGGACGGGAGCTCCTTCAGCAGCAGGAAGGTGCACAGGCCAAGGCACAACCTGTGAGTTGCTACCTTCCTTCCTTTGTCCATTTGTTCACTGCACATTTATGGGGGACCCTCTGTGTTCAGGAGCCATGCTTCCTAAGGAAGTGACACTGGGGACACTGACATGGGGGGATGACCACAGAAGGGGGTAAACAAGGGCCTTTGGAGATGCTCTTATCCCCTAAGCTGAACTTTGGGGAGTCTGTGATTGTCCCCAACTGTGGTCCCAAAGGGACAGACCACAGGCAAATCCTGGGTGGACAGACATGTGCGGGAGTTTTGGGGGCTCCACCCTCTGCCTGGGCTTTGTCCCCTTCCCTGGTGGTGATGCACACACACTGCGGGGGCTCCCTGCACACAAAGCCCGCCTGCGCTCTCCCGGTACGTCACAGCTTTAATTCAATCTCACCCACAGCTCTGCTGGCGTCACCAAGGATGTCTGGAGCTTCGCAGGGGGCCTGGCTCGGCTGATTGGATGTGTGGTCTGGAGCCCTGGCTGAGGGGCGCCCACGTGGCGCTCTTCATCCTCCTGCACGCAGCGTGACCTTCTGAGGGCCGGGAAACACTTCAGTCACCAGGCAACTGGGTCTCTTCTTCCGGAGGGGCTGATTAAAAACCGTGGCCGCGATGAGAATGGCGGGTGCCTGTGAGGCCTTAATGGGCCGCTGAGCCCGGGTTCCCACCTGCCCCTTCGGGATGGCTACTAACCACACTGGCACAAGTGACTTCACCTCCCTGGGCCTCAGTTTCCCCATCTGTAAAAAGGCCGCGGCAGTGGTGGCCGTGACTGCTTACCTGACAGGGGAAGAGATCCCCACGGTGCTCTGATAAACAGGCTGTGGAAAAAGGGGAGGGGAGCCCGATTCGAAGCATTTGTTGGTTTATTTTCCAGTACAAATATGCCCGCTGTGGTCAATTTCAAGCTCTCAATAATTAAACAATTTGGGCTTGCGGAACTCCTGAATATTTAACGCATTGCTCTTACAAGCAGTCTGAGACAACTGCAGTAGACTGTTGCCTTTATTCATAAGTTCATTCACTCACTCACTCACTCACACCTTAGTGCCAGGAATTCAGACGGTGAAGGAGTCAGTCCCCAACGGCAGGGGTCCCAGAGGCTGGAAGGAAAGAGACACGACTCGACCCTCACCAAGGGCACGGTAGTGGGGACCAGCTGCTGTGGGAGCCCCGAGGGGCTGTTTCAGGGATGGGAAACCAAGGTGTTTCGGAAGGGGCCCTAAACCCACATCAGAGTGCAGGCGTGAGGCTGGGTAAACGGCCTTTCCTAGTATTCACGGGGCTCGCTCCCCTGTCCCTTTGATCTCTGAGCTTGGGGGTGTTTCCAAAGCTGGGCAGCAGTTCTGGGAGCAACAAGACACTTTTAATCTTCAGGCCACTGACTCGGAGAAATTTACAGGGGCTCAAAGTGCCATCAGGCTTAGCCTGTGATTTAGAGAGGACCACACCCAAACCACTTCAAACAATAGGGATTAGTGACAGGTGCGCATTAAATACGCCCAGGGAGGGGAACGAAGGGGAGAGGTGGCCCACGCCCACATCTGGGCTCTGACTCCTGCCTCCTTCAGGCCCTCACGCCCCCCTTCGTTCCAGGTCTCTTGATTGTAACGTGAATGCAGTTGGAGAAGAATCACCCCCGATTTGTATTTGGAATGAACATGATCTTTTACAGAACACTTCCTCACCCAAGGCACCTGGTCTTTTAAGCTGACCTTGGGTAAAAGCGTGTTGCAGGAGACAGATTCAGATCTGAGTTGGACGGGCTCTGCCCTTCCTGGCTGGGTGCCTTTGGGTCAGCCATTTCGCTGCTCCAAACCTTGACGTCCTCGTCTGTATAATGGGTCCACACTCCCTTCTTTCTAAAGAGAACTCAGCAAGGATGGAATGGCTGGCGGAGGGAAAAGATCCAGGACTGAAGAGTCAGCCTGTCTACCCTTTTCCCTCAATACCCGGCGAGACAGACAAACAGAACATACCCTTGGACCTCTGTCCAGCCCCCACTTCTGAGGAAATCACTTTCAGTCTTGGGAGAGTGTCTCTGCAAGGGGATTTTAGAATTGTCCCCCCTCCCACCACAGCCACCAGCATCTCTGTCTCAACCCAGACCACAGAGGGAGGGACACAGACCCTCAGGAGGTAGGGCTGACCGCCTAAAAATAGGAGACAGGGGCTCCTTGGGGAGGGCGGTTTGAGTATGTTTTTCTATTATGTATACATTTATAAATAGGGACCTATTACTGGAACTGGCAGGGGGGCAGAGAGAAGCTTGGATGGGCTGCAAACTCGGTGTTATTGTCCAAGAAACAGACTCACCGGAGCAGCAGGAGGAGGGGGCAGGAACCCAGACTCCGTTCTGACTTCACCTTCGCTTGGCATCGAGCAGTTGGGCAGGTTTGGCGGTGAGGTGCGGGCCAGGGAAGGAAACGGTAGTCATCAGTATTTGGAGGGGGTCCAGGAGGGGTTACGTTTATTTGCTCACTCTCTGTGGTATGGGGAGAGGCACCCTACACCATAAAGCAGCAGGACTGGACGGAAGGAGGGGTAACCGCCCCGAAGATGTCCCCGTCCTAATCCCCAGGACTTGTGACTATGTTGTGTTGGCCGAAGAAAGAGTTAATGTTGAAAAGCAGCCGACCTTGAGATGCGGGGAGGCACCCTGCATGAACGGGTGGGTCCAATGTCATCATCCCAAGGGTCCTTATTTGTGAAAGAGGAAGGCAGGAGGGGCAGAGTCAAGAGTGATGTGACGGATGTGGCGACCTGTCTACAGGCCATTGTGGGCTCTGAATTGGAGGAAGAGGCCAAAAGCCAAGGATGTGCGGTGGCTTCCAGAAGCAAGAAAACGCAAGGGAATGGATTGTTCCCTGGAGCCTCCAGAAGGG